AATAATAATTAATAAAAAATTAGTTCTCTTTTTGAATTACATAAATTTCATGTTTGTAAGAAACAACAAGTAAATATATGAGTACAATACTGTATTTCAATAAACTTTGGACTTTTGTCAGTTTTTCTTATAAAACGGATGTTGTTATAAAACAAATAACTTTCTAAACAAAAATTAATTCACCCCAGTAGACAAACAATTTTAAATTAATCATCAACGTTGATAACGTATTTTGTTCGATTCTTACATCCTATTATTACATAATATTTTTTAAAAACAAAATCGATCCATTTACGGATATCTCTAAAGTGAATAATATAATTATTAAGCTTATACTTTTTATCAATCTTACATTTTATTTAATAATATTTAATACACAAATGTGTAAATGTTGTTCTGAGAAAATGGCATCCTTGTTACCTTTTTATCCGATGTGTTGTTATTAACAATTAAAAACTGCTACAAACTGAAAAAGATGACAGGCAAAGTACGTAAGAGTGAAGCCATGGAGGAGTAAAGAGGGGAAATAGGGCTTCCACCCTAACATAACCTAACCTAACCTAATTTAGGGATTGTAGCTCAGTTTTCTTCATAAATAATATCTATAAAAAACTAGCTTCTACCCCCGGCTTCGCTTGATGTCCTAAATACGTGTCAAAAATATCGACGACTACATAAACTAATTTTTCTATCCTTCGGGAACAGTATTTTTGTTCTGGATAAAAGGCACCCTGTGTCTTTTTTTACCCCTCACAACGTGTGTTCAAAATCATGATAGGTTTCGCTCGCGTTGAAGTCCTAAATATGTATCAAAGGTTATCGACGACCACATAAAACTAATTTTTCTATCCTTCGGGAACAGTATTGTTTTTCTGGATAAAAAGTACCCTATGTCCTTTTCTGTACCCTTGACAATATGTGTACAAAATTTCATGATGATCGGTCGAATAGGTATGACGTGAAATTGTAATAAACAAACAAATTCGTTTTCGGATTTATAATATTATTTAAGATAACAGTCAATCATCTTCAGTTATCCCTCGCCCCTGGACCGTCAAAAAGCCTTTCTGACTTGGTTGATTTTGTCAAAAACAAACCTACTTTTTACAGTTCGATCACTCTCTCATAGATTTGATATTAACTTTGGTAATATACGAACTATTACTGAAAAAAATTGATGTGGTAGAAAAATGGAAAAGTAACGCTTTGACTAATTTAATTTAAAAAGCTCCTGAATGCAAGTCAATAAAAACACTAATTCATCGTCAGTTTATTTATTTTTAGGTACTATCAAACTTTTTACATTTCTTTGGTGGATTTAATTTAATTAAAAACTAAGGAATGTATTTCTTAATTATTTACAGAATAGCTGTAGAACAATAAAAGATAAATAACAAAATTAGTTTTTCTGATTGGAGTTCTTAATATTGTCGACCAATTGTTTGCCTTGGGCTTCCAGTGTCTCCCCGAGTTGTTGGGCTGCGACAGTAATGTTTTTGAAAAGAGGGTTCTCCTAAAATGGTTAAAATTGTTTTAAAATCAGCCCTGTATGTAACTGTCTGGTACAGTACCTGAACTTGCTTCAAAAGATCCTCAACTCCCTTTTTAAAGCTTTCGATAGCATCCCCTACTGCTTTCGTGTCGTTATCAGTGGGGGAGGCATTACTAACTTCCCCAACTACGGTATTTATCAATAACTAAAAGAATAAATACAATCAATACATTAATTATTGCTAAATATAATTGTGGTACTAAAAATTTACATCTAATAATAATAATAATTATTATTATTGTCCCGTAGAAATAAAAGTCTAGCGTTTTTTTTTAAATATTTTATTGCTTATCTTTATTAATATTATTCAAATAGTGATAATGGTAATGTAATTAAACTAAGGTCAAACTGTGTACGTATTAAAAATATGCTATTCTATAAATGGTAAACAGTGTATGGAATAATGTATCATGTAGGAACCATTATTGCCTATTTAGTTGGTAGAGGTCTTCTATTAATATAAGCAAAATATTCTCATGAGTCAGAATTGCATTCAATGTTACTCAATTTGCAATAGATGTCATAAATAAATGTACAAATTAACCTACCATCAACAAATAAAAATTAATTTCAAATATATTTAGCTGTACACTCTGTATATTTAGAAAATTCATGAAGT